GGACCCTGCGCTTGTTGTGAGTTTTCTTCTGACAGAAATGGCGTCATCGTGGAGGACGGAGAAAAGTCCGTGGAGTCGCGACAATGGGGCGGCAAGAGGAGGGCGGTGGGGGCGGTAAGGGCTCTGGGATGGCGCGTGCCTGCTCGGGCTCCTGGCCCCCCGCGTTGCCGCCCCCGCCCCGGCGGCGCAGGGGGTGCCGGTGGTACTGACCGGGTGTCTTTGTTTCCCCTCCAGGTGCAGGTGAAGCTGGTGTCGCCGTGGGGATCGCGGCCCCAGAGTCACCATGAAGGTAAGGCGTCACTCAAGCAGCTTGAGTGGCTTTCGAATTCAGGAAGTGTAGGGGCCGTGTCTGTGTCCTGCCTGCAAGTTTTGCAGAGGCAGGTGTGTGGAGTGGCTTAGTGAGGAGCTTTCCCTGGAGACAGAGGGTCAGCTGGTGCGAACATCCACGGGCTGTGTCGTGGAGTTGTGGAGTCAGTTAGGAGACTGTGTCACCAAAGCTGTGCGGCTCCGGAATAGAACAGCGAGCGCCTTTTGCATGGAACCTTAGGAACAACTGAACGAATTAAAGCGTCTTAATTCATAAAACAGAAAGCTGGTCTAGTAACCTGACTCTTGAAACAAACAGTACTGCTATACAGTGGGTCTGTCTGTTAATGCCGATGAAAGAAAATTTCGTTTGATTGTGTCTCAGAGCCATGAATTTTAAGCAAAAAAAATTTTTGAAGATGTTTGAAGCAGTTTGTTGCTCTTTATCTTTAGCAGTTTGTTGCTCTTTACCTTTAGAGATCTATTTGGCCTGTTGCACCTTGTATTTCCAGGGACTAAGGGTTGTGTGGTTCATTTTTCTTGGAGTTGTCACGTGCTCTGCTGTGATGTGTTGTGTGGAAAACTGATGGCCAGGTTCCTCTAAGTAAATATGTTGACCGCAGAATAGCTTCTAAGAAATGTGTCTAAGAACTAGTTTGTGAATTGGTGGAATAAATCATGGCAATAAAAATACAGGTGTTTTTTTTTTTGTCATTTTAGGAAATTGTAAAGTTTTTTTTTTTTTTTTTAATTCCAGTGGCATGAAAAGATTTGGGTTTCTGATATATCTAGATTTAACTGGTTGAATCTTGATACTAGAATATTTTTTCCTTTGAATCTATACAAATTAAGATGTGCTTGAAAACGTTAGTAGTGTGTGTTTACCCGATTGAAATGTAACCGATAACATGTCAGAATGCAAATGGCATCTACTCTTGACAGTTCTTTTGGGTTGTTTTCTTCTTTTGTTAAAATTATTTTCTCTTATCTCCAGAGTGAGAATTTCTTTTGTAGGACTGCATCCAGGTAGAGTTTCAAAAGCTTCTTTTTTGCGGGGGAGGGGGTTTTGAGGCAGGCTTTTTCTGTGGCTTTGGAGACTGTCCTGTAACTAGCCCTTGTAGGCCAGCCTGGTCTTGAACTCACAGAGATCTGCCTGTCTCTGCCTCCCAAGTACTGGGATTAAAGGCAGGTGCCACCCTCCCCCCCATCTTCTGTTTATAAAAGAATATAAATGCTCTTGCCACTTAAATATTTGCTTATTGTACAAAGCAGGTTAGCCCATTTTTAAAGGTGTTTTTTTTTTTTTTGTTTGTTTGTTTTTCTTCAAGTTTAGGGCTCTGTAGATGGCTTGGTTTTTGTTTACTGAGTTCCTGTCTTACTTTCATGTGAATGAAAACATAACCAGTGATATGTCAGAGATGAAACCCTTTTCTTCTTAGTCATAGGTGTATAACCTGAGTGAAAACTGAGTTTATTAGGAAAAGGTCAGGTTTTTAGGAAAAGCATGTAATTGCCTTGCTGTTTGATGAAAACTTGGGAAAAAATTTTAAGTTGACTGATACATGTTTAATAAATTTGGAAGATGAATACATTTTCGGAATGTTATAATCTGTCACAGTTCCCATTATAATGCCTGCCTGACATATCTTAGAATGTAAATGTTTTTCTGAAAGGGTTATACCAAATTGAAGATGTAGATTTTTGTTCCTTTCTTTATTTTCCTGTTTAAAAAACTTGTCTGTTTAAAAGAAAGAAAAGAAAGGAAAGAAAAGCCAGGTCTGCAGGTACATGCATGTTAATCCCAGCAGTGGAAGGAGGGTTAGTAGTTCAAGGCCAACCTGGATTATACAGTGAGCTCTAGGCTAGCCTAGCCTACTTATTGAGTTGGAAGCCAGCCAAGGCCACATGAAACTCTTGTCCCCAACAGGCAATCAAAACAACAACGAAAAGAAAGTGTGCTGGAAACTTTAGCCATAAGAGTTTCACGGTATTAGACAAATGCATTTTTGTGTGTGTGTGTGTCTGTTACTTCCTTTAAAATAAAGGTGTTTGTTATTAGTAATGTTAAAAAAGTTGTTAAAACAAATTTCCAACTTTATAAAGAACTTTCTGTTTTTAGTTTAGGAAATTTTGGAGACTCTATTACTAATTGCTAGTATTAAAGTCTTTTTTGCAATTTAATTTCCTATGTGTAAAAGATAAATTCCTCCTGAGTGAGTGCCTGAGTGGTGGCTCAGTGGTTAGGAGCTCGCAGCCCTTCCTCATGGGAGTTGAGTACCCAGCACCTGTGTTTTCTAACCACCTTGTAACTCCAGTTCCAAGGGAGGGATCTACCACTCACTTCTGGGTTCCACAGACACCTAGACACATTCAGCATTCATTTACACAGTCACACATAATAATGATCCTTTGAAAAAAGATGGCACACACCTTTAATTGCAGCACATAGGAGGTAGAGGCAGGCAGATCTCTGTGAGTTTGAGGTCAGCCTGGGCTACATAGTTCGATTATCAAAGAGACAAAAAGAAGAAAAGGTATTTAGTGCTGAATATATTGGGTCCAATTTTGTGTGTGAAAAAAAGGTTTCATGTAGTTTGTGTGTGTATACATGTATAAATAACATTTAAGCCATAGAGTGATTTTATGCCGTTTTTGAATCTTGCTAAACACATCTTCTTTGAAGCAAGCCTTTTTGGGTGGGGAGCGGATTTCGAGACAGGGTTTCTTTGGGTAACAGTCTTGGCTCTCCTGGAATTCACTCTGTAGACCAGGATGGCCTCGAATTCTCATAGATCCTCCTGCCTCTGCTTCCCAAGTGCTGAAACAAGCTTTTAAATTTGTTCAAAAATTAATTTACACAAAGTCTGGTCATGACTAGGGTGCTCTGTCTGGAGATTATTTTTGCAATCTGTTTGTGAGAACTGTGACTTGTCACATAAAAGTAGCCTGCTTTAGGATTAGTATTACTGTTGCTGTAGACACTGCTACTAGGTAAAGTTGCTGGTGTCCTGTTGTTTTTCTTTTTAACTTTTATTTATTCGTGTGTGTGTGTGTGTGTGTGTGTGTGTGTGTGTATGTACGTACGTACGTACGT